TCACACACACACACACACACACACACACACACACACCACATAAACACACACCCCGCCCTCTCACCCGACAGCCTTTTTCCTAAAGGAAAAGGAAGCTAGATAGGGTAGGAGAGACAGCAGAGGCATCGGGCACTTGATGCCTGAAGTATAAAAACTTTGTTAACATGGCTGCAGCCGGCCAGCTCCCACTAATTCTTACACGAACTCCCCTAGCTTTCGCCTCCAATATTACTGGACTACCTCTCCTTTGTGTAAGAACAGCACTCAAAAAATGTATGTGAGTGCCAAGACAGCTTGACCAACGACTGCGTTATTAATAACAGAGAACCTCTTATATCAGAATTACTCAGGGTAAACAAGATTCGGAAGGAGATGCAGTGCTCACCTGTTATAAAGAACAATGATGGTGGCAATTATGATAACAAACAGCAACAATAATACCGTCCCTCCGGCCATGAAGTGGATGTATTGGTTATCAGTCTTACCTAGGAGAAAAAAGAAATTACAGCAAGAATTAGGAATTCAGCTAAAGCCAGGAAAAAAAAAAAAAAAAAAGAAGGCAGAGGATGAGAACAGTGTACATCAATCATCACAGAGGAAACGCTTTCAAACAAACAATGAATCCAGTAAAAAATGGGATGAGGCAAAGGAAAAAGGTATTTTTTCTTTCTGCATCTCCTAAGTGTTTCTGACTCCTCACAGATTTGTGTTAGGTCCTTGATTCTTGTGATTGGGTTCGACACCTTAAGAAGGGCAGAAAGAACGTGTCTTCGAGACAGATGTCACTTCATTCTAACGAGCTCCCGATCACATACATAAAACCTTTCATAGAAAAAAAAAAACTACCAAAACAGTATATAAATAAATTTGGATATAGTGAGTACATTCAACACACGACAGCGTGTAACTGGTGTTTAAGAAATAGTTCCCACTCGAATGGGGTAAATAATAAAAATTAATCAGGGAAAACATGTTCCTCCAACTCGGTGCTTGCTTGGAAAGAATTTTAGTCCAGGAACCTGAAGTTCTCATGGCGGGTCTTTCGTTATCTAGGTGTCTGACCTCCGGCAAATTCCTTGACCTGCTCTGCATGCCGACCTTCACTGTCACCTGTCAACTGGTGACAATGACACCAGTTCCAATTACGTCACGGGATTGTGGTAAGGATCTAACGAGGCAACATTCAAAAGAGCAATGAACTGCTAGGGCGGCGTCGCCCCTGACGCGGGACCCCAAGGAAGTCAGAGGCCGTTTCATCTTTAAGGTGCCCTCCTGCGCCTGGCACGCCTCACCCACCGCCACCCACAGAGCTGCCCCTTTCCGGAAGAGACTCCGTCGATACGTGCTGTCGACGGGAATGGGATTGAACTTGAAACCCAGGAGCTGTCTTTCCTGCCGTCTGTCTTCGGGACAGAAAACATGCCAGCCTTCCCTCAAGGGAACAGGCCATGGCAGAGACCAGCACGACCTCCCTCCCTCGTGAGACGGAAGTGCCACCTTGTACCACGATTCCCGGGCAACCTGGAGATCACACTTGTCACTGGATTGTTATCGATCTTACAGATTATGTCATCCTTCCTGATTCACTACTTAGCTGCGATTTTTTTTTACGATAAGAGCTCGAAGGCAACCTCCACTCATTCTTCCGTAAGCATGACTGCAAAGAGAAACTAAGCCAAATAACAAACGTTTTTTAAACATGTTCGACCTATAAGGCGAATAAAAGTAGAAAAATGTATCAGTGCTTTAAAGACTTTGTACACAGAACCTAAGAAGGGCTTTTGTCAAATAAGACAGGAAGAGGGAAAGTGAAATTTATTCAGAACCAAAATATATGGAATCGCCGTGACCAAAGGAACAACGAACTGTCTCTCCATCAAATGAGAGATTAACTTTTTAAAGTCCTTGGCACCTTATAAAATATAAATAAACGAAAAACTTGAAATTATTTTTGCATTATAACACAGGACGGAAAAGGACCGTATTTGCTATATCGAAATAATTTGAATATAGTAGATGCTAAGGTTAAATCAAACAGGCAATCGTAATGAGAAAATAAACATGATGATAAAAAACGCATTGAGAGTATTCTGAGAAAACTCTAAGTACTTTTTTAAATGCTATTTAGATCTTTATTTCAGTAAAAATAAAATCTGAGTGGACTAGAAATCTAAATTTTTTTCCTGTAAACATTAGAAAAAATATAAATAAATATTATTTAATCTCTGGAATGAGAAACGACTTCCAATTTATAAAAATAAATAAATACACAAGATTGACCAGGTCCAAATGAAAAATAACTGTGGGCTAAATTATTAGAAATGACACACAGAGATGAACAAAAAGTTGGTCAGTAGCTTTAACATACCCTTGCTATTAAAAAGAAGCTACGGGGACAATAAGAGAGATTCAAACAACTTATTAACAAAAAGCACTTAAAGAACAAGTTTAAATATAAGAAAGACTGGTGAGAGAGATGATCTCGAGCTTTATTTGGGGAGAAAAAACTGCTACAATCTGCAAAGGAGAAAGAAATCATCTGCGTGTCATACTCTTTCGCTAGGTGTTTACACATGTGATTAATTACTTTATTCTAAAGAAATACTCAGAAATGAATAACATTTATAACAGCAAAAAAAGAAAACCCTTATTTCCCAATAGTAGACTAACTAGTAGGACGCAGCAGCTGGGGCTATCAAACTGAATTTGCACCAGAATCACCTGGGGGTCTGTCGAAGCACAGGTTACTGAGCCCACCCTCAGAATTTCTCATCCGGTGGGCCCCAGAATTTGCAGCTCTCGTGTGATGCATATAATGGTGGTCCGGGGTCCACTCTTTGAAAATCACTGCGCTAGACAACAGAATTCTGTGTCTAAACAATTCCAACGAAATGAAAAGCTGCTGGCTGTAGATCTGAAGTTAAGTAAAATTTCAAAACCAGAATTCACGATCGCACACGCTATAATATCTCACTCAAGGACAGAACTTACAGCGGGGCAAGCCTGCGAGGCGACATGCCAGAATTATAAAGCGATGATCTTGAGGGAGTAGAATTAAAAGCAACTGTTTCTTTAGGCTTTTTGGTATTTTCCAATCTGTCTAAATGATGTATTGCTTTTATTAAAAATAAAAAGAAAAAAATGCTTTAAACAGGGTAATCTGCCAGATTTTAGTGGTTATTTTTAAAGTGCAGGGTGTAGAGAGCTACTCTGTGGACGTATACACAGAACCCTTACGATGACATTCTTTATTAAGTTCTCAATTACGTGAGTTGAGAAGTAGAAACCACTGAGCAGTAGGAGCATTCATTTCACACTGCTCAACTATAAATCCGAATTTCCAGTGCATTCTTCGATGTGAAATATGGCACCTCTTTCAAACCTCTTCTAGTAACGTTGGACCTGCTGAAGTCAGTCTGTTTCTCCATGCATCTTTTAACGCACAGTTTTTCAAGGCATACTGTAGACCTGGCATTACAGAGGAAGTGGTGAGTGAAAACGAACTCAGCACCTAAAGTGAAAACCCCAACTACAGGAAAACTGTTTCTCCCCTCAGCACTCTGCTGACCCTAACTTTCCCCAACTGGGCCCAGGCGCCCCGGGTGAAAGGCTGGGTCCCACGACACTACCCCCCGTCCCCACCCGATACAGACTCCAGTCACAAGTCCAGGGCTCCCCTGCTTCTGACCAACCTGATATAAATCGGAGGTCCCCACGACCCCAGCCTCAGGTTCGATAATGGGCTGTACCAGCTCACAGAATTCGGGGAACTGTGCTATGACTGGTTTATTACAAAAGTTCAGCTCAGGAATAGCCAAATGGAAGAGACGCAGAAGGCAAGTTAGTGTGAGTGTGTGAGTGCATGAGTGTGTGTGTGAGTGTATGAGAGTGTGTGTGTGTGAGTGTGCGAGTGTGTGTCTGTGAGTGTGTGAGTGGGGGGCGGGACATGGAGCTTCCACGCCCTCTGTGGGTGTGCCACCCTCCCAACACCTGCTGTGGTCACCAGCCGGGCAGTTCTCTGAGCCCCATCATTTAGGGGTTTTGTGGGGGTTCCATTACATGGGCACAATTGGTTATGTCATTTGTTGTTGGCGATTAGTTTAATCCCAGGCTCCTGTCCCTTCCCCCTACAAGTCAGGGGATGGGGTTGAAAGTTCCAAACCCTTAACCACTTAGTACTTTCCTCTGGCAACCAGCCGCCATCCTGAGGCTCTCTGCCACTAGTCACCTCATTAACATACGGAAAGACACCGGACTCTGGAGTAGCTTGAAGGGTCTTAGAAGCCTGTGTGTCAGGAACTAGGGACTAAGACCATATATATACAGCAAAAGTCGCTCCTAGTGTCCCATCCCTCAAGAAATGACAAGGGTGTAGAAGCCCCATGACAGGAAGCCGGGGGCTGAGACCAAACAGATATTTCCTCATTATGTAACGATACCTGATTTAAGGAGCTCACATTGTTTTGAAAGTTCCTGGGTGCTTTAACCCACACCTGGAACAAAGCATTTTCCATAAGAAATAAGGGTAAACGCATTGGTGTCAGGTTGAGCGTCAACCGCACGCCAGAGACAGTACAACCTAGAACATTGGGCAGCCAGACCATCTCCGGCCAGCTCTGCGTTAACGTGAACCAGCAGTGCTTACACGACTCGTTGGGCGCTGGATGGCCCAACAGGAGAAAGGAAGAGCAGATGGGGACGGATGCTCTAGGGGATTAAGCGATCGTCATAACATTCACTTTTTCCTATGTTCTGCTGATAGATCTTAGGGTGCATGATGTAGGCCCTCAAGCCCCTCTCTTAAAGGAAGAATTATTGTCTATTCTCAGCAGCCACTTTTTTGCTGATTTTTTTTTTCACTCCGAGCCCAACACTGTGTTGATTCATAGGAGGACAAACGTGTCTTGAACCATAAAGCCATTATTTTCCCCCCACATCAAAGAAGATAAATACATTAAAACTATTTGTCAGTGAGATATATAAATGAATAACCTACTCCAGGATTGCAACCCTCCAGTGACAAGTATTTATGGCTGAGTTATAAACCCTTAGAAACACTGCCAGGTCCTTCTGTCAGAGCCAGCTGGGCAAAAGCAGGCATTAGTGTCTATTGCTTATCCATTATTAGAGTTTGGGGTGGGGTTGCGGAGTGAAGACACGGTGGGGTTGAGTTAGTGAGTGCTGTCACTCAGAACCTATATATCTGGACTAAAAAATACACGAGGTTAAACTCCCAGAGCCAGCCCTCTAGCCAGCTCTGGATAGGTCATGGCAGATATCGGCCGAAGTCATTCTTACTTTTTCGCCTCATTAAAAAGAGAAGCAGGAACGTTAGATTTCATCCTATGTGTACACAGAATATACACAGTGTCTGATCTCCCACAGGGTAGAGACGTGTGAGCTGACAGGCCCGGCATTGTCGGGTAGATTTCAACTTTCGACTTACTATACCACGCAGACGTCCACCCTTCATTCCACATTAGAC